ATTGCAGCTTACTGCTATATCAGAGGCGTACAACAGGGACTTGCTGAACATCTGTTCACCAGGGCGCCCTGATGGAAAAGTAGAAAGAACGGCCACAAACTCCTGGAAGATAGTTTCAGGCTGAACATTAGGAAAACCTTTAGAACTAGGGTGTCCAGAGTATAGAACAAGTTTCCCCCAGAGGTGGTACAATAATCTACCCTAGAGGTCTTCAAGAGAAGACTGGACGGTCACCTGGCTGGGTTTGTCTGACCCCAGATGTCTTTCCTGCTTATGCAGGCGGCTGGACCGGATGATCCTTCAGGTTCCCTTCCAGCCCTATGATTCTATGACTGAACACCTTAGACACATCTTTAATTACCTCCAACCCCTGGAATAATAATAACCTCCTAGGAAAAGATGATGGTCTCAAAGCAGTTAAGGGGGACAAAACTGTTCTGTCTTACAGGCAGTCCTAACCTCAAATGGCATCTCTCAAGCAAGAGACTAACTCCCAGTCTCACTGGGGCACCAGACCTTGCAACAGACACAGATGCCTTCTGTGCTCCAACATCAATACAGATCACATCATCACTGAACCAAGTAATATGGATTATAATATCCAAGGCTCATTGGCAACTCTACCAATGCCATATATGCCATGACCTGCTCACAGTGCCTCTGCTGTCTATGTGTAAGAATGAATGAACACCAATATGACACTGGCTGCAGAAGTAGGCTCCCCTACTCCCTTCCGCCTTTTGTATTCAAATTTCTCTGTCCTTCTTATATACACTGCATTGTACACATCCTTTCACAGCATCTGATTAAATGAGCTGCAGATCATGAAAATTTGTCATATATATACACATCCACAGATGCATACATACATACATATACACACACACCTTACTAGCTAACCAAAGTAAACATATATAAACATATATATGCCTAGATCCCCACCTCTGCTAGACAGCTGACTTGAAAGACCATAGAAATCTGCTATTCATGATGTCAGAAGGAGACACAGGGGCTGGAAGAAGGGGCAACAGTAGTTTCTAAGTACAGTATTACTTTTCCGTGTGAGTGAATGCTATATTTGCTGAAAAACTGTTATGTGACCAAAAATGGGAACAAAGGCATCACTGAGACATTCCTTTTGTTAAGAAGTGCTTCAAACTCTGAAAAAATTTTTGGAGCTACTGGCTTTCTTAGTCTTTAATTCAGCCCCCATCACCTCTTATGATTTCATTGCTACATTTCACTATACTTTACTTACTTTTTAAATTTCCTAGCTGTGGTAAGGTTGGATTTAACATGTTACTGAATTTCTATTCAAAGAATACTTGGTCATCCAAAATAATGCTTTGACAATTCTGTGTGGTATTGCTGAATATACCAAACTTTGAAATGAAAGTGAATTGAAGAATGCATAATACCTCTGACACCTGGCATCTTTTCAGCAGGTCTTCACTCTCTTTCCTCAGGTGTATCTGAACAAGCATCTCTTTTTACAGAAAACTCAGAAGTTATTAATAGTTTATCTATTCCTTCAGAAGCCTCTGCTTCCTTGTGTAAATTACCTGATAAGATGAAAGTTCAAACAATATATTAAATGGAGGCTGTAACAAGCAAGCTTATGCTATTGCTGTAAATTTTCAGATTTTCCCTTGTTACCTCAAAGGTCATGAACCAAGATCAGAAAATGTTATTTAGATCGGAGACTCTTCTCCAAAGCCACAAACATCAACAGAAATGGGGAATGGCAGTGCTAGGAGCAACTCTAGGTCAGGTTACTTTCCTAGATCCTTCTGATCAATCTGGTTTCAGGCATAGGTATCATATAATACAGATTCTGTTTTGAGATCCATAGTTAACTAAAGCCTTCTAGTGATGGGCAGGATTATAGTATCCATGTTATTTGTTTAGTTCTATATAAAATATTTACATGGCACTTCTCACTGAGATATAAAAGAACTGAGATAGTTAAGATGAAAAGGTACAACCTGTAATGTCCAAAAGGTTCCCTGGATGTTGGGATTAGAGGAGCAAGGTAAATAATGAAACATAATATATTTTTATACAAACCATCTTTCAAAATTGCAGTCATTTTTTCACGTGGAGGATGTTTAATTTGGTATTTCTAACAATCCCCTGGATTTCCAAGTGCTATTAGTTTTTTCATCCTTACAGATTTTCTATCCAGCATTAATCCAAAATTTTATATGTGTAGGAATAGGAGCTGAAGGCCTGAAAGATATCCTTAGCAATAGCTTTTTGTCTAACTTGTCTAATCATGCTTCAACACAAACACATTTGTTTTCATTACTTTCTTTTTGCCGTTGAATGATGCAACACCATTATCATGACACAATGTCAAAGATAAGCAATGACAGAACAAGCCACCAAGAACACTGAGTTCCTCCTCTTATTTTGTTCTATGCTAACCACTATGGACCACAGCCTTTTACATAACCAATTATGAAATATTAACTTGCAAGTGGGAATTACTGCATGACTTGATGACAGTTCAATTCTTTCCTCTTCAAAAGGTGCCAGGGAGTGGTGTTCTAGCTACTTATCCTTGAAGAGATGTGTCATATTTCATTTAGTCATATTTAAGGTCAGATAAGGAAACCTGAGTGAGATCTTTTAGTCCATCACCAATATGCTGATATAGATATTACCTTGCCTCGTACCTCATTTTCCACAGAATTCACATTTTATATATTTTCTATTCTTCCATTCTTTGCCTAAACCATGGAATTAAATGCAAGTTAACTGGCTGAAACTCAATCTTGCAAAGACTTAAGAAATGTTAGGCAGCAATGGAAAGCTTGTGGGAAAGGGCCCAGTATCTACTTTCTTCTGCACTGAGATAGTTTCCATTCAGATCAGAAATCCTCAGTCTTTAGACTTGGCTGGAGTTTTCTGGGCTTCAGGTTTCTCAACAGCTAACTGGAAATTTTGAAGCCCCAACTCAGCAATGTTCTTACTTATGTGTTAGTTTGAAACAGATGCCTAAACTATGTTCTTCAGCATTTTGCTGAACAGGGATGGACTGAAATGCATGCAACTTAACCGCATGTTTAACTGTATTATCAAATTTGGGTCTTAGCTATCTATCCAAGTACAGGGCAGTGAAGGGATGTGGTTGATTATACAACTCTTCCTCAACAGCTTCATGTACAGCAGACTGAGGAACCTGCAGCAAGTCCCTTGCCTGTAGCAAGTCTCCAGACCTGCTTCACTAGGTACCTGTTCATGAGCGTGGAGGCTGCTCTGACACACCATAATTACAGTGCGTTGAAGCAGGCTGAATTAATTGAGTCTGCTGGAGCACAGTAATCACCGCACTCCAGCCATCCTCCACGTCTCACACGTCAGTGTCCTCGCACTTCAAAATGGTGGTGGAGGTGCTTAAACTCATCGAGTTTTAGTTCAAACGCTCCTGTTGCCATTTTGAAGCACAAGGATACTGATATAGGAGACTGGCTGGAGTGCAGTAATTACCATGCTCCAGCAGACTCGATTAATTCAGTCTGCTCTGATACACTGTAATTACAGTGTGTCAAAGCAGCCTCCAAACTCGTGAATAAGTACCCAGTGAAGCAGGTCTGTGGACTTGATGCAAGGCAGGGTTTGCTGCAGGGGACTGAGGACTTGCTGCAGGTTCTTCAGTTTGAGTGTACATAAGGCTGTAAAGGAACAGTTGTATAATCAAACATATGCCTGCATTGTCCTGTACATGGAGAAATATGGTACACACAATAGACTCAGAAAGGGACACTACCCAGAATGGACTCAGAAAATGCACTTTTACATCTGCTCCGGGGGGTTGGGGGGCAGTGGCTTACACCAGTGGTCTCTAAACTTTTTTGATCGCGCACCCCTATCAGTAAAGAATTTTTGAGCATGCACCCTCAATATATGTATATTTATTTATAAATTATATACATGTACTACTTGCGTACCGTACGTGACATATGACCATCTGACATACAGACAGAGTGAGGGTGCCAGTGTCAATCCGTATATTAAATATTAGTAAAGCTTAATTTCATTCTTACTTTTTTAGATAAAAAATAAATATAAATAGAAGTTCTAATATTTTCTTCCTGCACCCCAATGGATCGTCTTGCGCACCCCCTGGGGTGCGCGCATCCCACTTTGGAGACCACTGACCTACACAATACACTGATACGCAAGACACTGATACACAAGACGTGGCAGCACTTTAATTAGAGTGGCTCTTAAAGCTGCTCTAATTAAACCACTGCCCCACACCCACTCCTGGAGCACATGTAAAAATGCCCTTTCTGAGTCCATTGTGGGTACTATATTCTTTCAAACATGCTTAGAGGCAACACTTTCTAAGCTCTGTTGAACAAAAGGATTGCGGTTGTGGCTCACTCTTAAACAGGCATCATGAAGTAGTAGAGGAAGCTAGCTACGACCTTCCCCTCCAGCATGCCCCCAACTGGCCCACACACAAGGTATACAGCTCTTCCTTCCAAGCTGTCATAGTTGCTGTCCTGCTTCTAGCTCCAATATATAAATGTGGAAGTCACTGCAGAAGCTGAGGTGACTTCTACAATTACTTGACAAATGTTGTGTACCACTGCCTACTAGGAAATGTACGTATGACTCTCAATGTAATTACTATACTCTGCATTCTGGAATGTCAATGACTAGTGAGTGTTCATGTTCTTGAGAAATACTGGGATTAGAAACTGTTCCTAAGGGCTTTTTTTCTTTCTTATTCTAAATAAAATCAGAGTGCATTGTTTTGTATTTTAGTTTTCTTTAATTATAAGAGAAAAGTAGTGGCAAACTAACATACACCAAGCGCTCGATTACAAATAATGTCACCTTTAGGAAAAATAACACCCTTGATTGGTTCTGCAAAGTACAGCTAAATCACTTATGAAAGCATAACAGCGAATAATTTCAAATGGATTTTTCACTCAAGATAGCACTATGTGCAATCCTGTCAGCTCCTATACTTTATTTTGACCTGCTTTGTAAAAGGATATGCAGAACTGCACAATGTAATGTCAACTTGCATTAGGTTGGTGGCAATGATAAGTGCTCATTATTCAAACTGTGTTTCTACTGGCATGTTCTATTTATACCTCCACTTCTTTACTGAGGATTTCGAAGTACCAGTTCCTTTGTAACACAGTACACTTGGGGCAATTTTTTTTACATGACCTTTGAAAAGGGCTATCAACAACATAATGTTGCATGCTATCTAAACAAGTATTCCAGAATTTTTTAAGTCATTTTTAGGTTATGACAATTTTGGGAATTATGACAATATTGTGATCCAAAGAGAAGTGCTGAGTATACTGTGGAATTGACAATTTTGTTATAATAATTCAATGTTTCCCTTGTTTCTGTTTTATAATATCAAAAATCTTGCTTATTTGGATGATCAAAAGACTAACACTGGAATAAATGCTATAGTTTTCTATATATATTTTCAACCATAATACTTACTTGTATAACATCACATTGTTGTTATTACTGGTTATTTGTTGAGTAATAGAGAAAGGAAAAACCTTGGGGAAAAGGCTGCTTGATTTAGTACATTTTAGCAGATTGTAAAAACTGGGTAGCAATACTGTTCATGTTGAATAACACCGCATATAGTCTACCAGATAATCTACAACAAAATCCTCCATAGTATAGTGACCGTTCTAGAGTTACTTCATTAGGGTGGATTAAATTGCTATCCTCCATCAAAATCCATGCCAGAGTAACACAGCTGAAGAAGTATTATCAACTCAGTCTGTCTTTTAAAACATTTTAAAAAAATATTGTTCTGGAGCAGACTTCAATTTTTTTCCAGGACATTTTTATGTGGACCTAACTAGCTCCTCCTCCAGGGATTAGACTATGACTTTTGTCAGGGCTAGATATACAGAGCAACATGTAGCTGTACTGCCCCAGGTGCAGACCAGAGAAAAATATGATTCTGAAAGAGGCAAAGTAGCTATCATCTAATACCAATAGCAAACTACTTCCATCTCCATACTAGTTCAGCTCTGCTGCCCAGTGCATGGAGAAACTGAATAATGGGCTTGCTAATTCTTCAATCATTTCCTGCCCACTAGGGCTCAGAGAAAAAAGGGATGGCAGCGCAGAGGATCCTGCTGTCCTCCTCCTATGCTCTGAACAGTGATGTGAATAGTCTATTCAAAGAGGCAGTGAGGTGCCTGAAACTTTAATCTGCTGCATAGATGTACAGGGCAAATGAGAATCTTGCCTGTGGTGATTAATGAATCACAGTTGCAAATCAAACCATTCAGTACTGGATAATTTACTATAAATGCCCTCTGCATTTACACCTTGGCACTCCCACCCTTTCTCTGCAGGCGCTCTCTTGTTGGTTCAGTCAGCACCAGTGGTTCCTGGATAACAGCTGCCAAATACTTTTTTCCGAGTAGTTCGACTTCCAGTTTCTGTCCAGCTTTGCTTAGTTCTGTGGGAATATATGCAAAAGCCAAGCTCTGCTGGGTGCTATAGCTGTAACTGCCAGATGTGGTATTACCAACAACCTGAAAAACACACAAATATTTATCCTTAATGGGGTTTTAAAAAAGTCTACACAGGTTACATACTAGATTCTACCTTTACAAACATGCCCCCTTTTTAACAATTTACTGTAAATAGAGTTTTTATATATAGTTAAATATACCTTGTCTTATGTATGTCACCGTTCATACTATTTTGGGCCATCAGCAGATTTTCTTCAGCTGAATTTCTTACTCCAACAAAGCCAAAGGAAAATCATAAGAAGGTTTCTTAAATTCCTGATACTTTTATTTTTTTCACCTGAATAAACACTGTTCACATGTCAAATTCATGCTAGATATTTTCATTAGCTGTTAAGGGATGATGTACATATTTAAGAGGCCTGACAGCCTAAACTTTGATTTTCATTTTGTTCTTGCTTTTTTTCTAAGCAGTAATCTTCAAATATACTGAGAGGAGAACAGAACATTTGCAGGTTAATGTAATGGTTATAAAAAGGGACTATAATACTGTAGATCTTTTCCATGTCTAATTTATGTTATTATATAGTATTTCTAATTCTTATGTAAAATTAATCTGCCATGCTACCTGGAAATTAATAAATTACATCATAGCTTCAAACAGTCCTGTTCCAAGAAAAAACAAACTGTCCTCTTCCTCCCCAAAATCTCTCTGTCTCTCTAAGTGCCATATTCAAACAGGACATTGGTAATCATGGTCTTCCACAGATCTCTTCTCTTTGAGGCATACAGAATTTCTAGTGTTGATACATTCTAGGCCTGTGCAAGTAGGCAGGTATTTGATCCGGCTTCAGATCCGGCTGCTTCAGATGCCAGTGATCCAATCCGGACCTCCAGACTGGGTACCCGCTTTGATCTGACCGAAGCAGCTCCGAAGCTTCGGAGCCGCCTCAGAGATCCAGCTATAGGGTATAATGGAGGATCAATGAAATACCTATAACTTTGTTGTTTACTGTCTGATTTGAGTGAAACTTGCTGAGAGCATGACGCCTGCCAAGTGTCAAGAAGATAGGTGCAGGGGTTTGGGGGGAACTGCACTTCAAGCTGCTGACAGGCAAAACTGGTGACATAGATGACTGTGTGTGTGTTAAGGCGCAGCAGGCTGAAAATTGCAGGGGTAGTGGCCCCTGTTGAGGCCCCAAAGCCTGCCAGCTGTCAAGGAGATAGGTGAAGGGGGAGTCTGGCTTTTAGGGCCCTGCACCTCTGACTCCTAACAGGTAAAACTCATGATGTGGGTGGGTGCTTGGGCAACTGCGTCTGTCTTGGGACACAGGGGGGTGAAATCTACTGCAAGCCTGGGTGCTGGGCCCTGCCAGGTCATGAAGCCTGCCAGCTGTGTGTGTGTCTCGCTGGGGGAGTCTGGCTTCTGGGGCCCCGCACCTCTGGCTACTAACAGGGAAAGCTCGTGATGTGGGTGGGTGACACTGTGTGTGTGTTAAGGTGCGCCCTTCCTGGCGCTGGGGCCTCTGCACAACACAGCAGTGTGCCCCAGTGAAGTCTTCTCCTCCCCTACAGCCGCACTCCTTGTCCACCACTTTACATGACAGCCAACTTTTACCCGTTGGTAAGGACAACAAGGACAACAAGAAGTCCTTTTTTAAATACATAGGGGGCAAAAAGAAGGTACCGGGTAGCGTGGGGCCCCTGCAAGACGCTCTGGGAAATTTGGTCGTCACACCAGATGACAAAGCTAACCTATTTAATGACTTCTTTGCCTCCATTTTCCTGAGCAGGGACTGGATCAGCCCCCCACCACTGGGCCCCCCTCAGGCCCCAGGGGAGGTGCACCTAGGCCAAGGGTCAGTGAGGATCTAATCAGGGAACTTCTGGAGGGACTAGATGTTTTTAAATCAGCTGGTCCAGACAATCTCCACCCCAGAGTGCTGAGGGAATTAGCTGAGGTCATTGCGGGACCCCTGGCATGGCTTTACGAGCACTCGTGGTGCTCTGGTGTGGTACCAGAGGACTGGAAGAGGGCCAATGTGGTTCCCATCTTCAAAAAAGGGAGGAAGGAGGACCCGGGAAACTATAGGCCAGTTAGTCTTACCTCGATCCTGAGTAAGCTTTTTGAGAGAATTATTCTAGCACATGTCCACAAGGGGCCAGCAGGGGAGATTATGCTTAGGTGCAATCAACACAGGTTCATGAGAGGCAGGTCCTGTCAGACCAACCTGGTGGCTTTCAATGACCAGGTCACCAAATCCTTAGATACAGGGGTAGCAGTGGACATAGTCTTTCTGGACTTTAGGAAGGCCTTAGACACTGTTTCTCACCCCATTCTCATTAAAAAACTGGGGGACTGTGGTGTCGAATGAAACTTAGCTGGCTCAACACCAGTAGCAGCAGCAGCAGCATCAAAGGTACTGTCGCAGGGCACAAAGGTGCCCCGCTCCTAGAAGGGCAGAAACTGCCTGGGGGAAAAGCCCAAAGAGAGAGAGACAGAACCCCAGGTGCAGGTTACTAGGGCAACAAGCCAGAGGGTAAATCAGCCTGCACCTGCACATGGTCAGCTGACCAGAAGGGGCAAGGCTCTGGGCCCATATAAACCCCAGAACCGGGCCCAGGGAGGGCAGTGCCTAGGGGGAAGGAGCTCTCCTAGAGCAAGCAAAGGGGACAGGCCTGTCTGCAAGAGCAGCTTCCAATACTGTTAAGGGATGGAGCATTCCCCGGGTAGGGTTTAAATGAGGTTATAGCCGAGCGGCTTGAATTTATATTACAGCCCAGGGGCTTGTGTTTTGTTTATTGTTGTATAAGACCAGTGGTTTGAGTAAGGCTATTAGGGGATGGAGGAGGCCTCATAGGGGACCCATGGCAGCGTGGGGACCCCAGCACCAGAGGAGGGCGCAGCATTTGGGGTGCACAGACCCCAGCTCCAGGGAGGGCACAGCACTTTGCAGGGCACGAAGCGAGACAGGGCCACAGAGAGCCCAAGTGCCAGTGAGGCGCAGAGCTAGGGTGTCCCAAAACACCCATTGTGACATCTATCTTGGAGCGGGACCCACCAGGGGTCTAGAAACCCATGGGGTCCAGAGAATCAGTCAAGACCATGTCCAAGTGGACTGAAAGGCTCTGTTTGGGTATCTGTCATGGGATGGGGTCCTGCAGGATGGCCATGATCTCCCCAAGGCCCCATTGCCATGCCAAGTTGGCCCAATGGGCACCCTTGATTCTCTCCTGCCACGTCTTTGATCGAATGATTGATAGGGAGGACCACCAAGATCTGGGAGATGGTACCTCACTCAGCTCTGTTCAGGGGGCCGCTTATCCCAATCTCCCCAAGCAAAGCCATCTCATGGATGGCCTTCTGTTGCTCCACCAGCCTTTCAAGCATCAGGTATGCGAAATTCCACTGAGTCTCCACATCCTGCATGATTCTGTGCTGTGGGATGCTCAGCTCTGCCTGTTTCTCCCACAGCATCTTGCCCCCCTTGATGCTACAGTGGAAGTAGCCTGCAACCTTCCTGCATTTCAAAATCAGTTGGCTTGTAGCAGTAGTGGTGGCGGCACCATTACTGGCAGCCCTGTCCCCCTCCAAGGCACCCCTCACTATGCAGCCTGTGTGCCACATAGCGGATACCAACAAAGTTGGCATCACGGACAGCCTTCACCATATTGGCTCCATTGTCGGTTACCATGAACCCACGGGTGAGCTCAGCCTGCTCAACAACCCACCCCTGCAGCATACAGTTCATGGTCCCCATGATCTCCCTTGCCATATGGCACTCATCCAGCACCTTGGCTTGCAGTAGACCCCACCGACAGCCTAACTGATCGCACCAGTGCCCTGTAAGGGAGAGGTAGGCATGATCGCCACCCCAGCTGCTCCAGATGTCGGAGGTGAAGTGCAAGACTACCTGTGACCCTGTCTTGCGCAGCTCCTCCCTCAAGTACTCCCTACATGCCTCATGCAGGGAGGGCACCACTGTCCTGCTAAAGGTGGTGCATGAAGGCACTTTGTAAGATGGGGCAAGAAGTGCTACAAACCACCTGAACACTGCTGCTCAATTAAGGAGAAGGACTGGCTATCCAGAGCAAGCATCTCCCCAATGCTCTGGGTGATCTTGCTTGCCTTGGGAACGCACCCCACGTTCTGTCCACCTTTCCTCCACTAGTCCAGGCTGGCCTGCCTGTGCTTTGTGGGGAAGGGGGCTTTGGAGCAAGTGGGGGACTTCCCTTTCGGCACGCTCACACTGGTGCCAGGCTGAGCAGGAAGAAGGGCAAGGAGTTGCTGCTTCCTCGGATGCATCAGCATCGCCGTGGTGGAAAAGCGTTTCACATGCTTGCGACAGCTCATGTGCCTTCGGCAGTGCTGGCAGATGGTAAACCTGGGATTATCTACCATCTCAAAATGCTCCCACACTACACTACTCCCCAGCTTCTGGGTTGAGGGTGAGGATCCTGCCTTATCCCACTCAACAGGCTCAACAGCAGGAGGAGCTGCCCCAGCTGAGCCACTTGCCTCCACAACCTCAGCCTCCTCCAAGGTGCTGCTTTCCAGAGGAGACCTGGGTCTAGGGGAAATTTGAGGGGTGTGGAACACAAACTCTGATTCCCCCTGAGTCCCCAGAATTGCTTGAGCCAGTGTGCTTAGCTTCCCTGGTTCCAGCTCCAGCTCCTCCTCTGGCAGTGGGAGGCTCATGCTGAGAGATGACATTGGGGTGGAGGAGACAGTGATTCCACTGCTGGTGCCTACTTCTGGACTGAGAGGAGGTGATGCAGGTGCAGGGACATCAGGTGCAGACACTGCTCCCACCTCCTGGCTTCCACTGGCAGCACTGATGTCATGGCTGCTTGGGAAGAGAATGCGTCTGTGTTTGGGGGGAGAGAGCAAGGGCTTGCAGCTCTAGCTGTCTCCCTACCCCCTCTCCCTGCCCTGCCAGAAGACCTGGCACCTGCCTTTCAAGCACACTTCATATTAATCTTTCCTGTGCTGCAAAAGATCTGTGTGTGTGTCACTCCTTTTTTGTTGTGTGTTTTATTCCCTCTGTTGCGTGCATGCACTA